TGAAAGACGAGGACCACGACCGCATGTACGTGGGCAGCAAGGACTACGTCCTCTCGCTGGACCTCCACGACATCAACCGCGAGCCCCTCATCGTAAGCTGCCATCCCAGGGCATGGGTAAAAGGGGGGCAACTGGGCACCCGGGCAGGCATTTTGGGTGCTGGGGCAAGAGCTCGATGGACATCGCTGGTGCTGGTGGGGAAGAGATGTGGCCGGGTGGGAGCCCTGGTCACACCTGGGCTGGTGTCTCCGCAGATCCACTGGCCCGCGTCCCAGCAGAGGATTGAGGAGTGCATCCTGTCAGGCAAGAACAGCAACGTGAGTGGCCACCACAAACCTCATTCTGGTAACGACGGGAGGGCTGGTGGCCAGCACTGGAGGGGGATTCGTGTCCTCTTGTCCTACCCTGGAAAAGCCATCCCCAGGTCCCCTGTAGTGTGGCAGCATCTGCAGCCATGCTGGGATGGGGTGACATTCCAAGGTGTCACGGTGACCTGCCACTTCTTCCATCCCAACCATGCAGCTCCTGGAGAGCTTCATGGGCGAGCAGGAGGCCGAACAACCCACACTGCTTCCTCCTGCCAGCCAGGGCTGGGCCCTCCAGCCTGCCAGCTTGTGGTCCATGCCAACCCCTGACATGTGCTGTCCCATACCACATGCCAACCCATGAGCCATGCCAACACATCACCTATGCCATCCCGTGACCCACACCAAGCCCTGGCTCAACAGCAACCCATGTCCCATGCCAACCCGTGGCTCCATGGCAACCCATGACCCATACCAACCCATGACCCATACCAACCCATAACCCATGCCACCCCGTGCCCCGTGCCACCCCATGGCTCCACGCCATCCCAAGACCCGTGCCACCCCATGACCACGCCAACCTGTGGGCCCACCCCAACCTATGTACCCATGCCATGTCCTGTGCCTCAGGCCAGCTTCCCACCTTCCTGGCTCCCTGGCTGCTTTCTCCCTTCCCCAGCTCCTGCCCCATGCCGGGGGGCTGGACCCCGTGGTGCCTGCCCCGCCGTGGGTGCCGGCAGGTGGTGGGAAGGGGGATGTCCCTGTCCCCTTGCTAGGGTTGGCACCCCCTCCTCTGCTTCCCAGGGGGAGTGCGGCAACTTCATACGCCTGATCCAGCCCTGGAACCGGACTCACCTCTACGTGTGCGGCACCGGTGCCTACAACCCCATCTGCGCCTTCGTCAACCGCGGGCGCAAAGCCCAGGTGAGGGGTGGGAGGGACGGGAGGGGGTGCTGATCCGGTGCCCGGCCCAGCG